TATTTTCAAAATTAAGGTTAGCACTGTTACTTTAGAATTGGCGGAATGTTTCAGAATTTACTCGCATAAGACAGTTAAAAAGATTCAGTAACAGATATAATAATAACTTGTCTTCTCCTACCGTCGTTTTTTAACAACAATAATCAATCGAGGTCTTTGGCCATTTAAATTTTACAATAAAACTAAAACGCATACTTGAATTACTATCAAACAGTAAGCACATTCCTAACAGCCCGACAATTTCACTAATTCCTAATCACAAAAAAAAAGAACAAACTCGATTAAGCATTGTATAGGCATTGTATCGTTTATCGTGATCCGGCTCGCCAACCCGTCGTTCATCCCACGAGTCAAGGTCGGCCACATAATTCAGCAATTCTGCCTTCCTACTTTCCACTACTTTCAATGCTATCGTTCTTTCAACCTTTGCAAGTGCTTCACGGTTTGAGCGTCCAATCAGTGTTGACTGCATATTTACCAAGTTCCTGCAAATTCAGTCAATTCTAGAGGAAGTCATTTTGACAAGAATTTAGCAAGGCAATTCTGCATAAGCAAATCAGCAGCATCAACAAGAATAATTTTTATTCCTGCAGCATTTGTAAATCACTGCCCTGAAAGCTATTCCCGAACACCACAATTGTCCTCCATTCAACTTCTAACATACCTCCCACCATGGAAGGGTGTGAAAAAATCGCTAGTACGTCAAATGCGAAGTCAAATAAATGGAACAGGATTTCCCTAGATCTCCAGAAATCGAAATAAAGAGCTCAAGAACAAACGCCAGGCTGGCTTTGGTTAAAGCAGCCGTGCAACGAGTGTTCGATGCATCGACAGAGTCAAGGCACGCTACGATAAAGTGAAAGCTGATTAAAGAATTGATGTAAATACTTTAAAAACTGCTCGGAATTGGCCACAGTAGCAAGCATCCGTGAAACAGTGAGCAGCAAGGACTGGATAGCCTCGTCGGACCGTACTGCGCCCGATTCCAAGAACGTCAACAATATCGAAACAAATCGACTGCCTATTGTCGCATCCTCAACGAATTCGCTTACTCTTAAATAAAATTTTTAGAGTTCTTTGTTTCACGGGCTGCACAAGATGGAAGCATTTGTTTGTTGCTCAGCACCCGCCACAAAGCTAACAAGGACACCGAAGGCCCCTTTTTAAAGACGCACGAAAGAAAGGTAAAGAAAATTAACAAATCACTAGCATAGCAAAAAATTTGTAAGTTCGAGCAAAGATCG